GCTAACTGTCATTCAGTTGCACCAACAAAAACCTGGAGTAAGACCACTGAAAAGAGTTTGGTGTGGAGCATTAAGAACTTAAAGTGTGGGCACTGTACTGAGATGATGTGAGAGCCCACAGCAAGTTTCATGAGGTACCAATCATTTTAGCAACACTTAGAAACTAAGACATTAAAAATACATACTGATTTCATCTACTTTTGATATGGTGACATTTATACAAAAAGGAAATAAAATTAGCAAGTTATTTTTATGTGCCTATCAATTTTAAACTTGAGCTTTCTAGTACAGTTTGACTTAATATTTTAGCTAACAGAAAGAATGACAACCTTTCTTCTGCCCTCCTCTTAAATATATATCCAACCAAAAAAATACCCAATCAATTTAGTTCAGCCTCTTGATGTGTGTATCAAAGCTACTACATATAAATCTCAGCTGAGGAGCCAGAGCTGTCAGAAGACTATATGTATCAGAGCTTTAGGCTAGGCGTGTCCAAATAGCAAAATAAACCTACCGCAAGTGACAATCCAGAACAGTCATGAGACACAACACAGACAAGGAGGACATAGAAGGAAGAAATAAAAATTAAAACATCCACACACAAATATTAGTAAAAACCATGGAGAAATGACCTTTTTACAGCAGTACATTCTTTAACAATTTGCCTCCCCTAGAAGGAATCTAATCCTCCCAGTGGCCCTCGGTGGAGTTGTATATTCTACCTGAAAAAGTAAGCATTGCCTGCAATGGAAACAGGTTTCAAGACTGAAAACCTAATCCTATTTTCAACTCATCTCTCACTTTGCCTCAACTACATTTACTCATAACCTATTTTATTTTACAAACAGTTTTGCATTTGAAGTTGTGTTCAGGATAGTGGACATTGTGAAGCACAAATATTCAAACACAGACCAAAAGTTTATTCCACTTTCTGTAGTATCTAGCTACCAGGTGTGACTATGGAGCTGACTGAGTTTCTATGTCAAAAGGATCTTTAACTGTATCAAGCTTTATTGATCTATAACAATTTGGCATGGATTTGCAGGTCAGCATGAGTACTTGTAGGTCAGAAGTTCTCTCTGACAAACACCAGACTAAGAGGAAAATTATACTTCCAGAAGCTGATACTTTGAATTTACCAAATGCTACTCCCTTTCAAGTTTTGTGTGCCTAGGGAACTAGGATCTTGCAAGATGTCAAGTGTCTATCAACTGCTATTATGCACTCTCAGCTGAAGGCAGAAGGTAATTAGCACTTGCAGGTTCAGGCCTAACAATGACTGAACTAAGCTTTTTGTTTTTTTGACAACATCTCAGATGTTTGGTACTGCAGGTTGCCCTTTATAAAGGCATTATATTTATATCTTGATCTACAATTATTTTTTTTTAACATTAAATTGACTTTAAAGAGCTAAAAGGCATTCTTGTTTTTACCCTTTCTATGTTATGCCAGAGCCTCTAAAGTGGTTCAATTATCTTAACTGAAATATTCTACATTTAGCATTGCATTGAGTTCAGCTAGGTATATTAAAATTTGCACTGATAATTCAAGATTAAACTGTTGGAATAAACAATCAGTTAAAAAAAAGGACAGATTAAATTTCACAAATTAGTAATTAAGTTGGTAAAAGTTGCTGAAGGACAAGGACTTAAAATCTGTACACTATCAAACTGCTAGGTATGAATTTAAGGGCCTAATTTAAGCAGCCTGTTTTTTAAATCCTAGACAGTGAAGAGGAGGCTTGGCTGGAGAGTTGGTGATGCAACAACTTATTAAAGGTCTGACATTTATATCAACTGAGAATCTACCTTCCTTAGGTTTAACTGTGCAAAACAAAACATACTGGTTAAATCCCAAAATATTTGGGCAAAATTATGTTTAAATAACTATACAGAATATTTTGAATGGAATAATCATAAAATACCTATCTGTGCAAGATTTCAAAGTTTGAGCTCTCTTTGTAGACAAGAGACATGTGATTCAGCTTTTTATCAAATTTTTCCATGAAAAAGATAGACATGAAACCGAATATTAATTACATAATGTACTTCTGCATTTAAAATTTTTATTTTCCAAGAATCAATGGTCATTTATCCAGGTCTTAATGAATATAATTAAAAACACTTAATAATATATTGTAAATACAACAATGGCCTTACACGATATGGAACAAATTTCACATACTTATCAACCAACAAATTGCACATTATTTGTCCTACAACAAAGTATTAGGTTTGTTATCATTGGTAGAACGTAGCAAACATCTCAAGGAATTTTTCCACAAGCATAACCAAACAGTTCTTCCAAATTATTTTTGCTTCAATGGGCTAACAGTAACCCAGGGTAATTCAGCAATTTATGATCTGATTTTCCAGGCATTATTGAGGGGAAATAACTCACAATTACTTAATATTAATAGGCCAAAACAAAGTCTATAAATCAAATCCAGGGAATCTACGAATGCTAAATCAAAGTTCTTAAAGAAAAGGGGTTTTTTTCACATTCATAATATGGAGAAAACAAAATCAGCATAAAATCTTTTTCCAGGGAGAACTCAAAATTTCTGCTCTGGTTTTTGAGCTCAGCCTCACAAATCTTCCCGACCTTGGAAAAGCTCCATCTACATTAATGATTTTGTGTACTGATGAGGTTGTTTTCAGGTGTGAATTTGTCTTAAGTCAGTGTCATGCACTCCAGTACACCAGTGTGGCACATGGAGCATCTTCTCTCCAGGTGGAACCAAGGTTGAAGCTGCGCATCAGGGCTCTATCTAATGTGCTCCACTTGCAATGTGGATGAAGGGTTTCCAGCTGTTCACTCTTTCTGCCTGTGCAGGAGTCTGTTAGTTGTGGTAAGGCAATCTGGGAAGGCTGTAGAGAAATCTGCTTTATATTGCCTACTAGCACATTAGATGCATGGGTACATCCAGGATGGGCAACTGGTGTGAACTTCATTTGCTGTAAGTAAGCATGGAATGTGTACTTACAGTCTGAGAACCAAAACAGATTGTGTCAGATCAAGCCTCACTCCTTCCTTCATCACTCACATGACAGTGTATACTATAAAATGTTGATACATACAGCTTGAAAGTAATGAATTTTGCTAAGGCTTACTTTATTGTAGTGTATAGGCTAGAAAATTTAACTACTGTCTAATGAACAAACATTTTAGCACTGGCTACTGCAATTGAGTAGTATGAACAGAAGTAAAGCAACTGGATCTTCAGTTATTACCTTTCCATACTGTCTACTGAGCAAGAACAACAAAAGCTGTCCTCTTGTCTGATAATGGAAACTGGAAATAGCTCTGATAGTTCTGTACCTTTGAAGCTTATACATTATTTTCCTCCCCTTATCAGAGCTCCTTTCAGACTCCACTCATGATCCAGTTGCAGCTAGTCATCAGACTTGTAAGGCTTCCTCATCCACTCTCCTGATTGCGCTCTTCCCCCATTACATCTTTTGTGCCTGCAGAAGCATGCTAACCTATTCCAAGACTCTTAAGACTGGCTATGAGTCACATTGGTGACTGCTCCATCACCATATGGTGGCATCTCACCACTTATTCTGGACTGCTCCATGGGCTTCAGCTACTGTGCTCTAGGCTTCTCTTCTTGGATCTTGTTCCCAATAGCTGACCTTAGTCCAAGTTTTGGCTTATAATTCTAATCAACCTGTCTTCAGTCCAGCTTTCTTCTACAGGAGATCCCAGAATCATAGGAGTTGGAAGGGACCTCAGGACATCATCTAGTCCAACCTCCCTGCTAAAGCAGGTTCCCTACAACAGGTTGCACAGGACAGTGTCCAGGCAGGCTTTGAACATCTCCAGAGATGGAGACTCCACAACCTCTTTGGGCAGCCTATTCCAGTGCTCCGTCACACAACTTATGGAAGGAACTTCTTATTCCTGACCATGCTGTTATCCTCTCCCTTTGGCTGGAAGAGTGCTCCCGGACTGCTCTGGCTCACCAGGGGTCTTGGGAGCACAGACTTCACCATATAGTATCTTTACAGCTACTGGCTCCTACTAAAGAGGTTTTGCCAAGCAATTATCTTAACCTTTTCTGTACTTTCTGTTTGAAAAATACAGCCCTTTGTCTTCTTAGCTTAGGAAATCTGGCAACACAGTGAGGACACATGGATAGTTCACTTTTATTTCCCCATTCTTCTGCTTATTCTCAACAGTTTGTTCCAGGCAGGGCAATACTACAACCTTGTTAAAAAAAGCTTTATTTTCTTCCAGGAACATATTAGTCAAGTCAGTGGCCCTGAGAATTAGGTCCTGCAACCTTCTGCTTCTCTTGTATGAAGCAGATCTGAAGAACAAGTTTTCCTGCCCTTATGAAAATGATGCTGCTTAAAGGGCATTATACTCATCTTTCCCTCCAAGTTACTCAGTTGACTTACAGATACAAGTACGGTCTGTTATCTTTAATCTCCTCCTCTCTAATACAAAATGAATTTTCCCAACATCATTGTGCTGAATGTCCCTATGCTCTTCCCTTTTAGTTGTTTTCCCTTGTTTCTATACCTCCCATTTTTTTCTTCCATACCGTTGTTTCTTTCTCTGATGAACTTTTGCTTTTGTGCAAAAAGAGATTTAGAGTTCAGAGCTACTTTTGTTCATCATGTCAGCTCAGAAGTACTGCTAGAAAGATATACAAACATTATACTAGGTCCTGGTCAAAGTATTGAAAAAGGACAGTGAAAATTGCTCATATTAGCTTCATTTTTGGGACAACCAAGATACTCTCAATAAAATTGTCGCTTCTAGATGAGTCATTATATACTTGCTCATTTTTTTTTAGCAGAGCAAGGAAACTGGCTGACTGCTTTATCAGTGATGCCACACCCAGATTCATCTTTTGCGATACCACCGAGAAGATGCTGCCATCTCTTCACAGAGCCACTACTGAGACACAAGCACAACTTCTTGTAGATACATCAAACAGAAACCTTCAAATGTAACATAAGAGTTGAAGAAAAGGAGAGGTACTTTACCTGGTCTTTCATGGTTTTCCCTAAATCTTTAACATCTTTCATGTTAATAGCATTCTTCCCTCCCTTTTCCTTTCCCTTCTTCTTGTTCTTCTTTTTGAACAAGCATTTCTTACAGAGACAAAAGCAGCAGGTAAGGATTAATAGGACTGCAACTATGGCTATGGCTATTAAGGCCCAAGGTGGCACTGGAAGAGAAAAAGAAATACACACAAAAAGAAGGTAGTAAAATGTTAGTAGGGTTAAATATAGAAACAAGCACATTTCTCTTGCAGCTAAGCCTTTTTCAATGAAAATGCCTTGCAAAGAATACCCAAAATCCTTTCTAAAATACCCTGTCATTATTTGTGCATTCCTCCCAGCTGAGCATTTGCACACACAATGCCAATTTAACACATCTATTTACATGCCTGGTGACACATATCAAACTCACTTGCAGCTATTTTCATTAATCAACCATCTGAAAACAGTATGTCCAAAATATTTACATTGTGCAAATCTGTAAACCGCTCGGCACATTTAGGCAATTACTTGCTTCTTCCTTTAATCGTCTCTCCAACCCACCTGGCATTGTGGCTGAATCGAGTGGAAGTGACTGAGAATTTCCCTTTTCCAGAACAGCATCCGATCCAAGCAGTCAGTTTTAATGAACAGCCCTTCTCCTCTGCCCACTGCTGCACTTGACAGACTCGCAGACTCTTCGCAACAGATGCAGGTCAAGGTCACCAGTAAAGACTGACCAAGGACAAAGGACTGTCCAGTCCAAGGGCATTTCCCCTATTTGTCACCGTGCCCTAACAATACCAAAGTTTCAGTACATAGCTATATTCTCATCTATACTTTTCTATAAGGAAAAGCCTATGTTCCGTTTATTCATTCAGTCCAGGATGCTGGACATGACCGAAGCATGAATAAATAACAAAGAACACTTACTATGATAAAATGATCTTGTTAAAGATCAGAATTTTTGGAGAAAAGGAATTAAGATGACACTTAAGCACAACTACTCCAGAAGGGAAATATCTTCACACAAATCAGCTTTAATGACCACCAATCCCCACATTTATCCAGAACACCTGACAGAACTTATAAACCATCATTTTCTAAAAATCTCAAAATGCACTCAGTCTATCACGTCTGCAAGATACTCTCTCAATGCATTACCTAAAGGTCGCTAATATGATACAGAGCAAAACCAAAGAGTGAATCAAATTTGACATGTTGACGTCAGTGAATCACAGAAGGGAAAGGACAGTATAAATAGAGAAAATTAACTGCTTAAAGGAGCTAAGCAGAGTGTGAAGCATGGTCACAGGAACTTCCACCACAAATTACTAGTTCAGGAAGAGGTCAGAGCACCTACATCTTCCTTACTCTAAATTTAATGACCATTTTTTCTAACTTTTATGGAAATGTCCTTGGTGATAGATACAAACAGAATGCAGGAGAATAGTTAACCAATAATTTCTGTAATACTTTTGTGCCTCCAAATGTTCATTAAATGCAGTTGCTATAAAAGGGAAGCTGTACCATATGTAGAACAGATGAGAACTGGTTACTAAACAAATGACTATTAAAAGCTAAACAGTGAACAGATTAACAGCTGTTTAAAGGACTTATTTTATGGAGTCAACAGCAGCAATTCTGTAGTTAAGTTGCATTAGATCTGCACTTATCACAACTTAAAATCTGTATTTCAGGTATTAATGATTTAACTTTGTCTTCAAATCTGGTGTGGTAACACTTTGTAGCACAACTGATTCTCCTAGATTTTTTTTTTCATTTAATCCAGCACTCACCAATGTAACACCATCGACTTTTCATATGCAATGTGTGCTCTTCTCAAAGTCTAATCTTCACACATGTACTTAGTCTGTTACACAATTCACATCTAATAGGGTATTTAAATAAGACTATACTTTATACTTGGGCTATTCTATAGGATTTATGTCAATATGAAATGAAAGCTGTGCTCAAATTTATCATCGTTTGCTTTGCTGCCTTGTCAGCAGTGCTTGAAGTATGATGCCTGTGAATATGGGGAGCAGCAAGAATACAGGATGGGGTTCTGTCAGCAGGATGGCACCATGGGAGGAAAGAGAGGAGGGACACATCAAATGCAGGTAAGCTGGGAGAACAGGAGGAGACAGGGAATGTGGGTGTTAATAGGATACAAACCTATGCATCCTATAGATGAAAAAGCTTGTGTAGGTAGTGAAGTCAGGTGTCTTTGTGCTGAAACTGTTGTGTAAAGTGGTATTCTGGCACTGCTGCCTTGATTCTCTGGAGCATGAACAATGTAGGATGCCTTGGGGAGCATTTGAAACACTTGCAGATACCTCAGCTTTTTTATTTTTTATAATGCATTGTCTGCTCTCATCTGTTTGTAATTTAATTTCACCCAATAGCTCTTGTGATGCAATTAAATGATCAGCAAATTAATATCTGAAACACCAAGAGTAATGCAGAATTCCTTTTTCATCTCTTCAAAGAAAATAGGCTTCCTTTTATATTAAACAAAGCATAAGCAATAAAGGAAAAAAAACTGGGTAATCAAAAATCTGGACATTTCCAAAACAACTCCAACACTCAAGTCTGAAAAAGCAAAAAGGAATGGATTTTTTTTTTTCCCCAATTAAAATGGCTCATCCAAACACCGCCATTGTCAGAGATTGCCCAGTCAGTGGATTTAAATGTTAGATTTAACACAAGTGAAACATACAGTTATCACTGGCTTTGCAATGATGTTTGTTTCCTTTCAAAAGCATTATTTAAATAATTTTAAATGTTAATCATTTTACATAATATGGACAAAATTTTCTAAAATTACTAAAGACTTTGAGAGTTTTCATATCTATGATCCCCAATTTATGAAGCTGCCAGAGAAGCCTGAATTGCAGAAAAAGCTAAGTTTTTAAAAATTAATTTTTTATAAAGTCATCTCAAGGTGGACAGGCCAGAATGAAGTGACTGAAGTCACTAGTCACTTTGGAAGACTCAAGGCTACTGCCTTTAATTTTTCAGCCTTTTTACCAACTGTGAATAATATCTATGAAAACCTCACTGATAGTATATGAACTTCCTTGTTTTTGCTCACTTTGGAGATTCATATTGGTTAATTCCAGTTGGACCTTACCTACACTTATGCAAGATTTTAAAAGAATTTCATTTTTCCTGTGTTTAAATTGGCAACAAAGGGAATCTAGAGTTTGAAGACTACCTCCATCTGTATTAAACCAGCTTGATCAGGTTCAGTAGCACAGTTTGAAACCTCAGGAGGTCTTTGGACATGATCCGTTGAAAAAAAGACCTCTGTGTCAGATGAAGCAGAGTGGGTGATGTGAAAAACACAGATCCTGACCGAGGTGTCAGGGAACCAGAAGCTTCTTGTACAACTTGTCTTACCCAGAGCCTGCACAAGGGGGTGCTTTGAAACAAGCAATACTTACCTATGCAATCAAGGAAAAGCTATTGTTTTAAGGATAATTAATGTGTGTAAACTTTCTGGTATTTCAGTGCTATTTTCTTTGTTCTGCTGCTGTGGTCAAATACAGAATACTTATTTTGAAAAAGCTGTCATGAATTGCTACATGATTTGGTGATTCTACAAGGCTCTTAAAGACAAATCCATAGGAGGGGATCTATTGAGTATCATAGGTAGTAAATAAGGTCTAGAATTAGTCTTATTGATCCAATCCAAACAGGGTATGCTCTAGGACTTTACTCAGAAATGCAGGAATGAAGCCTATCTGTAAAAGAAGAGTGTAAAGAAAATGAAATAATGGCTTATTCCTGAGGAACAGCAGGGCACTGAAAAAAATAGGATTGTGTTGATAATTGAGACACTTTGGGTACCGATTTTACATCCTTCTCTCATGCTGAACATCAGTCAGACACAGATGCAGCTAAAGGAGTTGTGAGCTCTCTCACCCCTCTCTGTTGCTTCCTTCCACCAACGCCAGCCAGGGTTGCGTGCATTTTGCGGATCGTATGATGCATTTGTAGCATTTCACAAATACAGCAGCTGTGATGTACTTACATTATCATTTTAGTTTGGGCTTAGGAGTGCATTTATGAGGCATATCTCCAGACCATACCCATACACCATGCTTGGACTCGTGTTATGCAGTACTGAATCTGGGAGGTCATGATGGACAGAATGGGAATATACACTCCCCAGAGCTCACATCACAGTGCTCCAGCTGCAAAAGGTACTTGGTCCATGGGAGTACACCTAAACCAAAGCATTACACCCACAAAGTTTGCAGCGTGGGGCTAAGTCCTCAGGACTGACTGCTTCACTCCAGTGATTTGCTTCTACTGCACAGCACTAAATACAGCTTGTGCTCCAACCTGTCATTAACTTGTTCCACTGAATACGCTAGATTTAAAGGAAAGGATGTATTACTGAGTTATTAAATTTAAAAGCCACAAATTATGTCTTTTATATACAGATATCCTTACTTGGCCTTACACAAAATGCTTGGAGAGGCACAGGCCTTAGGTCTAAAACTGACATTCCCGTTGGATGATCTAAAATTATGAAATGCCTTGGAGGACATTTAACTCCAGAGGAAAGACAGTAAGAGGGAAGTCACAAAATGTGTAACATTATCGAAGTGCTACAGCCTGGAAAAGAGAATAAAATCCTTCATCCTAATAATTTTCTTCCCTTTCTGTGTGTAATGTCAGAGGAAACTTTATTAACTTAGAACACAAAGAGAGGGAAGGTCAAGAAAGAACTAAAGAGGAGCTGAATTAAAAAGTGAAGACTTCCACACCAAAAATGCTGTCCACTGACAACTCCCAATTAAGCAATTAAGTGGATCCATTTAAACTGTGACAGCAAAGGACTATCAGATGATGGCATCTTCCATATTATTCTGCAAAAGAGGCCCACGGCATGTCGGAATTGATAAATATCAATAATCTATGTTTCAGAGGGGGCATGATACTTAACAGGAAACTGAAACTGCCAAAGAGTTGTATGTGAAACACATTGCATTAATCTAAAGCTCTGGTAGCCTGAACATGAGAGCACTGTCAGTTTTCATTTACTAAACCATAGTTTTATTTTAGCTTTTTGCACTTACAGCTTCTAATCAGGAAGCAAACCCCATATATAGCTGTATGAAGACTTTCTGTATAGAAACTTCCCAGGGGCCATGTTCTGGGAATCAATTTGACTTTCATTAGAAGTTACTTAAAGAAAAAGAAAATGTACTGAGAGCAAGGACCCAGGTAATAGATGCCCCTATTCACAGCAGAAGGAATACAAAGGCGATTAATGCAAAGAAAAGGAAATGCTGATACATGGTAAAAGGACTTGTAAAAGAGGAAGATAAAAACTGCAAATACATACCTACAGATACTGATGATTTAAATATTAGCCTTCAGTCTTATACAGCTACATTTACACCCCAAATGCTCTTATGCTTTAATAGCATGTTTGCAAATTTATTATTTTATGATATTATTTTCACTTTCTTACATTTACCACAGATTTTTTACCTGGTCCAAGTTAATGATGCTACCTTTGGCCAATCACTAGAAGAAACCATTACTAAATAT